AGTTAACTGGGATTGAACACAGGTGTCAATAGCTGGAAAAGAGTGTGAAGTGTTGTTCCTTGCTGATAATTCTGTGCCGGGGATGATAGTTGCAATATTTTTGTCCCTTATATAGTGTTCAAGTCAAGCTCAAGTAGCTCACTTGAACTCAGGATGGAAATGGGCCAGGTCTTGAGAAAGGCCAGCGTCAAGAAAAACCTTTTCCAATAAGGATTTCACCCAAGCACGTAATTTCATTGGGTTTCTTTCATCATTGCAAAAGGGGTTGTATTGGTACAACCCCCTTGTGAAGTAAATTTGAATGGAGGGGAAAAATAAAGGATCCTTGGAGGACTTCCCGTTGGATCTGGGACCCTTGCAGAAGTCAATTTAGACCCAAAACTCTTGATTCTTGCAGAGAAATTTGAATTTCGAGGCTCTAAACCGAATCTGGGAGACCTGCAGATGTTGAAGGGAAGTCTTCCATTCTCCCAGACCAATGTTATGTTGGCTGGGCGCACTGATATATTACAAAAAAGGGGTCACACATTGATAGGCTCAGCCAATATCAAATGGAATGGTAGTAATCAGGAGGGCCACCTGGGAATTGTCCCAGGACATCCCCAGCCCCCAAGAACTGGCTCACCTTAAGCCTTGGGTTCTTCTTCCCATTAATGCAGTCGGAATTGGAGTTAAATTTGAATAAATAAGATGATAAAAAACAATCATTCCCCAGAAATGTTTTCCAGGGAATGCCCCATTGTACACACTCAGCAGCCAAGGAAAATCTTCCTGGCCGTTTTGGTTTGTCCCCTCCTTCCAGCTTGTACACTTCAACATCCATTGAGAGAATACACTCTGATTGGCCAGGAGGAATTCCTCTTGGCATTTGAGAGTGTACAGCTCTCAGCAACCAAGAGGAACCCTCTTGACCTTTGAGAGTGTACAGCTCTCAGCAACCAAGAGGAACCCTCTTGGCTGTTGAGAGTGTACAGCTCTCAGCAACCAAGAGGAACCCTCTTGGCTGTTGAGAGTGTACAGCTCTCAGCAACCAAGAGGAACCCTCTTGGCTGTTGAGAGTGTACAGCTCTCAGCAACCAAGAGGAACCCTCTTGGATGTTGAAAGTGTATACTCTCAACAGCAGAGAGGAAGGAGGATTCTCAGCCATTGAGAGTGTACAACTTGTTGGAAATTCTCTCAATCACTCTCACCTTTTCTGACATGTTTTTTTATTCATTATTGCTGCTTGTTCCTTATTCAAAATGTTGCTCCAACATCTTGACCACATTGTATCTAGACTCCTTAAACCATCTAGATGCTAAGAAATTACAGTTATTGATTCTTTATTCTTTTTTGGGCCGTTCCTGAAGGAGCACTTGAGCCCTTCTTCAGTCTTTGTTGCAAGCACTTAAGCCCTTTCAGCTAAAATCAAAAGTATCTTTCTTCGGCTTCTCATCCACAATTTCAACACAACTCTCAGCAATGGAGAGGATTATCTCTGTTTCTGAGACTTGTACTCTCTCAGCAGTTTAAGACTAAAAAGTGGTTATGAAACCCTTTTGCTGAATGGATAACAATACCACCAAGCTTAGCTTGGCAATTTTATATATAGTGATAAGGATAAGTTTGAGATGAAGCTGCCGATTGATATGTGTAAGGGTATGAAGATGTTAATGAATATTGGTTATGTTGATGAAGTTGTTGTTGATGAATATGGTTCAGGGCACTTTTGGGTTTTGACGATGATGAAAGTGTTAAATTTGTATTTCAATGTGTATAAAGCTGTAATTGTTATGTGGCTATGACTTGTAGTTGTGAAATAATATATAAGATGGATTTATTTATAAGGGTGGCTGAGATGATCTGTTCCACTGGTGGGATGATGGAGGGAACAACAGGCAGGCAGAGGCCTCCTTATATAGACAAATGTGAGGGATTTTGGCCCCAGGGTACAGGCTGTGAGATACTACTACAAAGGGATGCATATGAATGAATAAAGGGATGCATAGTTACACATGATCAAAGGGATGCATACATGCAATTTCACTAGTACAAAGGGATTCAATATAATGTAAAGGTATTCAATATTCTACAAAGGTATTCACTATTCAATATGTATCCTTTATTCATAATGGCTATGGCTAGAGTGAAGAATCCAAGAAATATCCTGTGACAGGTTGAAATACGTGTAACTTCTAAACTATAAGAGATACAGGTATGGTTGTAATGAGCAACTAGGGGTTAATTTACCTGAGGAATCTGTTTCATTTTTACCATATCTTGAATGTATAAAGAGATAATAAGAAATTTTTTATATTTTCTGCATAGAAACACAGTATTATTTACCACAGCGGCTAAGAGAGATTCCTCCCGGAGATAAAAAATGTACAACTATCAACAACAGAGAGGGACCCTCTTGGTTGTTGTGGTAAGACAATCTTGAATAAGAGGCCCACAAAATCAGAGCCTTACACACATTAATAAGCCCTCTGGAAGAGTATACCCTCAAGGATCAATACAATCCCCCTTTGGAACATTCAATCAACCTGCAACACCATGAACATCACAAGACCAAGCACCTGGAAAGAAGACATTCTGGATCCCCATCAAATTTCTTTATTACATAATCAATACATGCAGTCTTACATCACCAATCCCCTTTCAGCCTTCCACACTTGGCCTCTGCATGTGTTTCATTCTAATCCAATTTCCCTCTATTCTTATTTCCACTTTGGGCCACATTTCTATTGTCTCAAAATATTCCACTTTGGTTATTCTCATGTCTCATTGTCAGCCTTAGAGCCAGCCAAGCTGGCCAAAAGACTGCTTAAGTCATCCTTTTCGGCTATGTTCCTACTGTAACTTTTTTATCTCAAGATTTCATTACATTCTGACTTCAGAAATGAATTCCTCATGTGATTTCAACCTTAGTCACCACTACACACTTTTACACTACTCTTCTCCTTCATAGACTTTGTAATATTTCACCGTACCTTGTGAAATATCAACCAAGTAATCCAACTCTGAAAATTCTCTCAGAGTATACTGAGTTCGCATTTTCAGTATCTTCAAGCTTCAGACCCACCCAGAACCAACTCAGACCAGAAATCACCAACCTCAACTTGGATACTTCACCGCCTACTTCACCGCCGCATCATCGCCGTGTTATTATTTGAAGTCCCTTAACTATTGGAATCTTCCCACTCATCGTGTCAGGATCACCAATAAGTAAGTCACTCCACAAGTTCAGCTTGCATCTTTCTGCTAAGTTCTTTCTCTGTCTCTCTGAATGATCACATCATTCTGTTTCTACTAAACCTCTGCCTTAATCATCATCTAATCAAATCAAGTCATCATTATTCTCTGTTTGGTGGTATAACTGAAAACCACATAGGTTTCCCTTTAAAGAACCTTGATCATTGATCTAAAAAATTGAGGTTGGATTGACATATATTCAATACCAAGTACCCTATTCAGTTTCAGTTGATAGGAGGCGTAGATTAATTCCGCTTAATAACAGCCATCCTTAAAGGAAAGTAAGACTATAGTAAACCTTGATTATCAAACAAATAAACAATAAAAGATATTATTCATTTCTTTTCTCTTTCTTTCTCTCTCCCTTTCTCTTATTCTAGTTGTATTTCTTTATCCCTTCTGAAATACATCTAGAATTGCCCCCCAACCCTTGTGTCCTGTTGTCACTTTTGAGACCCAGGCTCACACTCATGCTAGAACACATCTGGCTAGTTTGTTTATCTCTTTGGTATATTCTTCCTCAGTCTAAAGATAGTCATTTGGTACCTGTGGCAGGTACCTAGTACCGCTTGGCAGGTACCCCTCACACCCATCTCGAACCTGCGCAGAGGTGCTGAGTGCGGTACTAGGTACTTGAATTTGGCCAGAAAGTGGTGTGGTACCCTGGTACCGCTCACCCCCCAGGGAGATTAAGGGCCTGTGGGAAGGTAGAATGTGACATGTGAATGATATGTATATATCAATATCCCTTATGAATATTGTCCTGTTCCCCTTGAGCTACCCACAGCACTCAACTGATCACAACAGTTGACAACCATGGCTCCCGAGAGTCACAACCACAAGCAAATCAAGAGTCAAGGTGGTACCTGTGGTACCTGCCAGAGGTACCTGTGACACTGCCCAGTAGGTGCCAGGTGCGGTACTAGGTACCTGATTTTGCCCCAAATTTGGGGGGGGGGGGTACCTGGGTACCGCTTGGTACCAGGGTCCAGAATGACTATCTCTACCTCAGTCATTGGTTGTGGCACATTTCATCGTGACATGTCTCTGATGTCATTTCCCCCATTTATCTTAGTGTCTACCAATTGGGCCACATTGATTCAGCTTGATAATTTTCAACCGTTCCTTTCTTTCCATTTTATTTCATCCCCCTCTCACCCACAAGCTGGTCACTCCCCAGAATCTTGTATATAAAGGAAACTTGTGTTTCCTCTTGATTTGTTTCCCATCAGATCCTGACCCAGAAATCCAGAAAACTGATCACTCTTCATTATCCTAGTAGCTTCCCAGAAACATTTGGGATATTAGTAATATTCAGACAGAAGATAAGAAGACATAAGACATAACCATCTCAAGAATACTCCAAAGCTGCACCTTTCCTTATGTGTCCATACTCTTATCTTTTCTTATTATCTTACTCAACCCAGTTTCCCATAGAAGCAGCCCATTGACACATCATTCCCTCTCCAGCTGTATTCATCCCAAGAGTAGTTCCACACTGTTGAGAGTGTATACTCTCAAAGGCGGAGAGGAAGGAGTTTTCCTCTCTGCTGTCAAGATTGTACACTCTCAACAGCTGGGAGGCCTCTTTCCTCTCTGCTGTCAAGAGTGACACTCTCAACGGCCAAGAGGACCTTTCCATTGGGAGTGTAATCTCAGAAGCCCGGAGGAATACTCCTGGCTGTTAGGGGCTCTTTTTAATTCAACAAACCCCAAAACCCTGGTTGGTTTTGGAGGATTGGGGGGGGGGGGGGGGTTAATCAAGTTATTGGAACTTGAATCCCAAACCTGCTGCATTTTTGGAGGATTTGATCCCAAAGTTGGGAGGGACAATATCCTGAGGTGGTCCTGAGCAGACCATAGAACATCGAATCAAATAGTAAATCAAATACTCAAATCGAATCGATTCGAGTCGAATAATGCTGGCTCATTTTTTGGCTCGACTATTCGACTCAACGGTGAAACCGCTTCGCTTCGCTTCGAAAAGCGCCCTTTTGTCGAAGCAAAGCGGTCCTGCGCTTTCCTGTAGGCCCAAAAAGCGAGAGCGCAGCGCCAGCCGTCGCTGTGGTATACCTTAAGGGTAGCCATCTGGCCCATTTAAAAATTTTACAGTTTTTTCTTTTATTACAAATTACATACTTTTTACACCTTTTTTCTCATATATACACTCGCAAATCATCCAATATGGCTCAAGAACTGGATTCTACGGTCAATTTCACCCTTGGTCACCACTGGAGGCGTCACTGGAACTCAACTGGATTGGAAGCTACACTCTCTGGACCATCACCACACTCAATTACACAACTCACCACCATGGCAACACTTCAACACTCAACAACACCAACAAATTACATAACTCACACTATACATATGTACATTGCAGGACAACTACATACACTCTCACGCCACTATAGTACATGTATACACACAACTCCACTATCTTCTGACAGTTGACACATGCAGTGTTGGTCGGGCACCACTCTGGATTTACAAGTGACATCATGCAGGTTGTCATGTCATTTGTTAATCTTCCTTGCAGCTGTCAGACTATCTCACACCACTCATGTAATACTCATCACCTCACCTTAGCTTGCAGACTAGTACATCACCTCATGTAAAATGCTACACCAGCATAAAACCCTCATGTAGACTTCTAGTTCAAACTAAGATAACTCTTATGACATCATGTAGGTTGCTCAACCAGCCAAAATACCTCATGTACATGTTCTGACTAGCTAAATCCCCTCATGGTAAAGCTCTGGCCAGCTAAAATCTCTCATTCTCTTGTTCCCCTGAAGCTAAAATCCCTCACCTTTGTGTATTTAAGAGGCTCTCCTCTCAGTTGTTTCCCCCTCAGTTTAGTATCCACCTATTTCATACCCCCTACCCTTACAAACCCTTACATACCATTACATACCATCCCCTTACATTGAAATATCAGCTAGACTCACTCTCTCACTCTCAAATCAACCTTTTAGACCCTTATAAAATTGGGTTAAACCCTTTGTCCACCTGTTAAGCTACAGTTATCTTTTGATACACTCCACTATCACTTTATTAAACCTTCCAATCTGAGATTGGTGGGCTTGTCTAGTGTCTAGTGATCCAGGAAAGGCAGAGGTATCCTCATTCATCCCTTTCCACACTCAGCAAAAGGTTTTCACAAACACTTTTGAGCTTTACAACGCTTCGCTCAAAAATAGCGGGCTGGCCGCTTTGCCTGGGGCCCGAAAGCGAAAGCGCAGCGCCAGAATCGCGCTTTCGCTTCAGGAAAGCGCGAGCGGAAGCGGCGCAGCGCGCCAAACCGCTTTTGCTGCGCTATTAAAGCCGCTGCGGCGCTTTTTGTGCGCTGCAGCTCCCAACGCTCCCAGGATGGTCTCAGCACTGTGCACATGCCGCTTTGCTCGCGCTTTCTGCCGCTGCTGTGCTGAATATCCCCCCTGGGTTCGCCGATCGGCCTTCCCCTCTTCCCTTCCCAGCACGCACCAACCATCATTCCCCCCTGCCCCTACCACATGGCTCCAGAAAAACCACCCGACAATGTCCCTTCAACCCCACCAAACACTTCGGAGGACCCCTCTGTACCCCAATCAACCCGTCGGGAATCTTCTCGCACTCGCACACCAATCTCACGCCCCGGATTCATCCGTACCGCCTCCGACTCTCGCCGAGCTCTGATTGGAATTCCTAACCAACAACGCCGCAGGCCATCGATCACTGCCAATTCTAATCCTGTAACCAAAGAACCCAACGGAGGGACCGACAGCGATGATGAAGAGGTTGAGACTGTGGCAACCAGTCAGAGAGGTGTGACCAAAAAGGTACGTCTTATTTGATTTGTGTTGGCTTCACATCCCATTCTCGCCTTCTCATCTTCACAAACCAGTGCCTGACAATACACTCTGGAACTTATAGGTTGCAAGCAAAGTGCATCAAGTATCCAAGCGTACAGGCAAAGCGATCGAGGTCGACCTTGCCCAGGACTCTGACGAAGAGCACTCTCATTTAGCTACTAAGAAAGACAAAAGCAAAGACTCGAACGGATTCGATCATTGGCTCTTATACTTTTATCCACCTGGCAAGGGTCCCAACCAAGTAAGTTCCGATTTTTCATTCCTTTTTTTGGTGGGAATAGGATGCTGAGTCATTAAAATTTCAACTCTACTTACAGAAGCCCAACTCCGAAGCGTATGCATGTCGATGGTGCCCCAAGTCGGTCATGGCGACCGATCGATCCAACTATAACTTAAAATCACACCGAGACGGGGCGAACTACAAGAGTTCTCAGAAGAAAGCTTGTGCAGGCCGGGCCCAAGCCATCACAAGCGGATGCAAACTCCCTCCAACACCCGCCGAGGTCATTGCCGAAAAGGTCAAATCTGGTGCCGCCATCCCTGGGACCCTCATTGCTTACACTGCCAGGGGAAAGTTTGACAACACCACCATGATCAAGCTCCTGATCATCTGGCTCATCCGAGAGTGTCTCCCGTGGCTTCGAATGGAGGATTTTGACTTGCGATTGGCTTTCGATGTAACCCCTCGTCCCGCGGGTTCACAACCCTGTCACAACAAGATCACACATTCACAAATTTAGCCCGACTCTTAACCTCATCGTCTCCTCCTCCTTCCTAGCTCGGTAGAGATCCACTAACCACCTCTACTGAGCTAGGTAAGATTATCATTTCTCTCATTCTTCTCTCTTTCACTCTTTCATCCTTTCCTCTTTTGTTTTCTTCTGATTCCAGATTGTATTTAGAGAGATCCACTAACCACCTCTACTGAGCTAGCTCATCATCTGAAATATAGCCCGTGGTCCTAGAATCTCTCCCTCAGGCTATTGAGCCTGTTGAATATCGACGGCAGTGAAGCGCTTAATCGAAGCGCTTACATTCGATCACGCCCACATCAGTTCTAGGTTACCTTCTCGTGTCTGGGCAGCCGCTCACGCTCATCATCTCTACATTGAACAGCGATCACAGGTGATCAAGCTAATCAGAGTAAGTACTCTGCTCAATCTGGCGCTACTGGATCAATATCTGTCCAATATTCACCTTTCTCTTCACTTAGGAATCTGAATCTCAAATATGTCTCATCTCAGACGTCTGGACAACAAAAGGGAGCCACAAGGCATTTGTGGGGATCACGGTCTGTTACATCAACAAGCAATGGCAGCACGTGACCCAGCATCTCGCCATTAAGTATGTTTCTTGGCATCACAACGGTAAGTATTTGGCGCAACCGTTTGCCAATGTCTTGACAAAGCATGGGCTCCATTCCAAGATAAGTCTCTCGCTCTTGCTCCTCCTCCTCTCTTGATTGATTGCTTCTCCATGAATTTGACTAACCTGTTCATCACATTTTGATCGATCTCTTCAAATCCCATTCTCAAATTGCCTCCTTACGTCTTAGCTCTGACGACCGACTCGGGAAGTAACAACTTCACTATGGCTAAAGCCGTATCAGCGAATTTTCGAGCGTTCGATTCAACAATTTGGGATGTTGAACGAAATCATCACCGCTGCATTTGCCATGTGATCGCTCTCATCTTGGGAGCTGGATTGAAAGCACTCAAGCTTTCAGCCCAGATGGTAAGGCCTGCCAAAGCTGACGAAAGTTTCCCGGGTAGTCTTCTGGCCATAATCACTGAGGAGGAAGAGCCGGAAAAAGAGCCGGAAAACAACAACGAGATAGTCGAAGTGGTTCCTGAAGATCTTGTGGCTGATGCGTCGGAGGACGATGATGTTGACCCGGTCGATGCAGAGAGAGAACTTGGAGTTCCTGGATGGGAACACAACGACGATGGTGACAATGAGCACGAAGCGGACGAGTCTGGGATCGGTTTGACCTTGAAAAAAGTAAGCATCTCTCAGGCTCAATCAGGTATAAGCTTCTGTCTGACCCTCTTGGTCATGTGTAGATTGACTATATCTGCCGACGAATCGCGGGATCACCCCAGAAGCAGGCTGAATGGAAACTATGGGCCAAGACTCTTGGTTACAAAGGACAAGGGGTCATTGGCGGCTACGGAATAAGATGGAACATAGCTTACGACAGCAGGCAGCGCACATACGAAGGCCGCCGGGTAAGCAGTCCGACCAACGCAACCCAAGTGCAAGACTCACTCACTCATTGATGCTGTTTGATCCTGTTCAACCAGGTCATAAAACAGCTCTTGGAGAACGAGTCTGAGAAGTATGTCGGGCGTTCGGCCGCTAAACACTTTTTCAACTCATACGAGTTGTCGTCGAAGGAATGGGACGATGTCAACTCCCTCAATCAGGTATTAAAGGTGAGTAGACCTAGTCGTTATCTCTCTATTTTCCTTTTGTCAAAACACTCACTGATCATATTGTCATCTTCTCATCCGACATAGGAGTTTCTTGAGATGACCAAAAGGTTAGAGGGTGATGGACCCAAGCTGCCAATGTTACTGTACGAGTACGCTCGCCTCCTTGCCTCCTTAGAGAAGAAGAAAATTGCTGCCGAATCGACTGCGTTGGAACGGATGTTTGATCCGATGATCACCATCACCAAGAAATACCTTGACCTGGCGGTTCACTGCAACACAGTCATCATGGCGACATTTCTGCACCCCGCCTGGAGGATGATGCTGTTCACCGACCGGTATCCCCTTCACCTCCAGCGGATCAACAAGCTGATCTTGGATGTCTTCACCGATCGCGACGAACTCTTAAAGACCCAGCAACCCGATGCATCTCCTCCAAAGTGCACCCAATCAGAAGCAAATGCGTCCGGGATAGACTCCGATTCTGATGGGGATGCATTCAATTACTACCCAATGAACGGTGACACAGTTGACATCAATACCGAATTGGATCGGTATAATAGTGGGGAATTCCCCTTGGATAAAAAGGGATGTGTATTAGGATGGTGGAAGGTAAGCCTCTCTCCAACATCCATCAGTGCACACATCTAAATTACTGACATCAGATTCTTGTGCACACATAGGCACACAGCAAGGATTTCCCTGTCTTGGGCTCTTTGGCCAGGGACTATCTCGCTTGTGCTGCCAGCTCGGCAAGCGTGGAGCGTACTTTTTCAGCAGCAGCCCGAGTTTGCGCAAGTGGACGATCCTCTCTGGCCATCCGAACAATCGAACGGTGTATTAGCAGCCACATGTGGCTGCGTGATTCGGTCAGGGTAGGAGGCTTGTTTGCAGAGTGCCAGGGTTTGATTGATGCCGGCTTGAAGAACCCAAAGTTTGCCCGGTACACCGTCAAGCCAGTCAAGAAATCGCGGGACATACGTAGATAGTTTTTCCCCTTTGTCAACTCCCCACTATGCCCCCTTTTCCCACTCCTATGCCCCCTTTTCCCACTCCTGTGCCCCCTTTTCCCAACACTAAGTAGTATCTTTTCAAGCGCTTCCCCTCCGCTTTTTTGTATTTACCTAAATGCCTGAAATAAAAAGCGAGGAAGTTAACCGCTTCCCTTGCGCTTTGAAGCGCAAAGCGACGCTTCCTGCCGCTTTAATAGCGCACTATCCGCTGCGCCAGCGCTTTTATAGCGCGCTGAAAAAGTGAGAAGTTTCCCCCTATTCCCAAAAAGCGAGAGCGCAAGCGGGAAACCGCTATAAAAAAGTGCAGCGAAGCGACGCCAAAATCGCTGCGCTTTCCGCTGCGCTTCGCTTTCTGGAGCGAAGCGGTTACACCGTTGTTCGACTGAAATCGAATAATTTTAGAGATTGACATCAGGAGGTTGCAAAGAGTGTGTATGGGGACAAGGGGACCCTATACACACCCCCTAACCGCCCTATACACAACCAGGGCCACTGATATCACATATCCAGATACCCAGCTCGGCTCCAACTCAGGTTATCAGACAACCGCGGCTGACTACGGACCTTGGCCACCAACCATGGCACCTGCCAGCGATCCCCCAACCTCAGCCAAGTCAACTCCAGAACCGTCGAAGAGAACAAAATCCTCGGGAGTTAACCAATCGAATATCTCCGAATACTCGAATATTCGTCGAATTGGTATTCAAGGGCCCCAAAAAACATGTCGAATACCACCGTGCTATGGTCTGGTCCTGAGACAGTTCTCAGGACATCCGCAGGGCTTGGGAGTCAATTATTCAAGCCCCTATCAACCTAGTTGGCAAGACCAATGACATGTACGCCACCTCTGACTCACATGACTACTGTGGTAAGCCAATCCTGTTCCTCCAGGACCACCAAGTGTAAAATTTGCAGAAGAATCACAAGAGAAAGACTGCCCAGAAAACTCCCCTGAACCGCAAGTACAGGCCACATGGATAACAAATTTTCCCAACCAGAAACTCCACACCCTTGAACTCACTCCCCTCTAAAAAAAATCCTTTCTTCTTAATCTGTTGTGTGCCACACTAGGACTCATGCCCTGGATCCATGAATCCCGTATTTCCTCCTATCTTCTTCCATTGAATATTCCCCTGCCCCCTCTTATGTTTCATACTATTCCCCCTTGGGAGCTTTTGTCCCACTGCTTTTCCCTGAAGCTTTCTATCTGTATAAGATATTTTCTCTTGTTTCATACTCATCATAGAATTAATGCTATGCATATTTTTCCAACCACATGCTGGCCACTGCCCAGAATTATTCAGAATATACACAGCTTTTTTTCCCTCTCTTTGTTTGTTCCCCATTGGGTCCTGACCCAGCAATCCAGATAATCAACCACCCAAATGCCCATCAAGATTCAGAATGACTTGATTATCTGAACAATCTTTATTGGATGTGTGTCAAGACCTTGCAAAGTGTAAGCCTCTGAAGGAGGGGCTTGGGACCAAACTCAATTTTTTGGCTTGGAGGTTTGGGCACTTTAGTGCTGCCAAAGTTCCCTCAATTATCACCCCACCTTTCTCCTGAAATGTTTGATGCACTGTTGGGCCCTTAGAGCCACTTCAATCTTGCCTTCCATTTAACAAAACTTAGGCCTATCTCTGGCTTCCTGACCTATCTAAAAAGCCTCTCAAAGTTCATGATTTCTGGGATCCAGGTCATCTGTATATCCAAACACAGGACCATACAGGTGTCCCAGATCCAAGAGATAATGGAATTGGCAAAGATTTTTGAATGTCTTGGAAATCCAAGGACAGTTCCAGGTTTTGTTGGGTGGTAGGCAAGATCCACACAATTTTATTGGTCTAACAGGGCTTCAACCTTCTGAAGAGGAAGGTAGAATGGTAGTGTAGGGAATTGTTCCACCACCAAAAACTCACAATCTCTCAAGCCAAAAATCTGAATTTGGTTGCAAGCCCCTTCTTTGGAGGCTTGATTTTTATTGGCTTTACATACAACATGCTCATTCCTCTCAACGCTTCAACTGATGGGTATTCTGCTATTCTGTCAATTCAATTCATTGAACTTGGTCATAGAACAAAACTACAGTTATTCACAGCAAAAAAGAGAGTGAAAAAAACAACTTCTGAACTGGTTTTTGATGTGTTGGAAACACTTGGGATTTTTTCTATTGTTCAAGGTGATTTATGTATCCATGAAAATGGGCAAGTTGAGATAACCAGCTTTTAAGCTTTCTTCTTCGTCGAAGTCAAGTTGGACTTTGATTTTTTTCCTCTCGTGGCCTTCTTGTCATCGTCGCCCTGCTCAAAAGGAGACAAGATTGCTGTCAGTCTACCTTGACATTTTTTCCCTGAGTGCGAAGTACGTGGACAAAAAAGTATTCACCTTGCGTTTCTTAGTCGAAGAAGACTCTTCAATTTTGGAAGCCAAGGGTAGTGAAGTTGGGTCGTTATGCTCAGAACTTGAAAAACACTCTTCCAAGCTAGGTTTCCCTGTATGAAATCGGAAGGTCAGCGGGGAAACAAAAATTGAAACAACCACCGATGGGAGGAATTTAACCTTTGGATTTTGCCAACTCTGCTGAGATAGCCAGTAAACGACTTTCACTGTCGCCTAATTGCTTCGCTAATCGTTTCTTTTCGTTGTCTATTAATGCAATTGTCATTAAAACTTATCTCTTAACCGCGGGAGACAGGCCACCACTTACTTGCATTCATTAACATCTGGAAGCGTTTAATCAAGTCTTAGTTATGGAAAGTGAGCATCAGTGGTAGGGAAAGGGAAGCCACTTACCGTTTCGTACTTGCGCTCCAAAGTGGCTACCGCCTTTTCCCTAGCCGCAGACGCCTAGAAAGTAGACTTGAATCAGCACCAAAGAACAAGACAAGAAGTATGGAGGAAATTGTGCAACTAACGGCTTGCTTTCGAGATTCAGAAGCTTGTTTCTCCGTTTCGTGAAGTATATCCGCTGCAGTGGAGACTTGAACAGCATGGGAAGTTTTGAGATTCATCATTTCAATCTTAGAACGCTCGAGCTCTTCTTGGGCCTTCTTCAAGCTTGCCTGGAGACTTGCTTCTTCTTTTTCCTGACGGTGTTCAGGAAGTTTGATTTAAGCCTTGTGCAATGATGAGAAAAAGTAGAAATCCCCAGTTTAGATCCCGCTCAGCTCACATGTTTTCCAACCAGGCCATTCAGGCTTTTGGTGTCTTCCAGAATGTTGATGTATCTTCTTTCAATCTCAAGACGCTCGTTCTGAAGTTGATCAACTTCTTCCCGCTTTTTTATCTGCTGGTTCACCGTTTCATTGAGCCGATCAATTGCTTCCTTCGAGAGACGTAATTCTCCAACCATTTGAGCTTCGGAATGTTTAGCAACAAGGTCGGCCACTTGCTTGCGAAGTTCGTCAATCTCGCGATTCTGGTGATGACTTTGGTTTAGTGGGCATGCGTGCAAACGGAAGTTGTAATAAGATGCATACCAGAACGCTTTGAGTTGCTTGCGCTTCGTTGAAGTTTTCCCGAAGAATTTTAGCCTGACCCATGAGCAGGTTCTCTCGACTTTTTGAGTCTTCCCATTTAGTTTGCGTACAGTCCAATCGGCTTTGGAGGTCCTTGTTGTTGTTTCCGTGTTGCTCTACCGCCTTCAAGAGTCCTTGCACTTTTTCCTTGAGTTGAGCTTCAAGTCCAGCTGCTATAATAAGTTGACCTTCCTTCGAAGATATGTCCTTCCGAAGGGCATTGTTTTCTTGCTTCACATCTTCCAAGTTGGCTCCTACTTTTCGAATCGTCTCCTTCAGATCTAGAGTCTCGTGGTGCAGCTGTCTGGCCGAGTTGGAATCTTGAGTGGAAATCCGGATCATTTCTTTTTCCTTGGACTCCAAGTCCTCGATCTTCAGGTGACATTCGGACAGGGTTAAATTCGTACACGCGTTTTGATTTTCTAACGCTAAGTTTTTCTCTTCCAGCTGCTCGATTCGCAATTTCAAAACGCCAAGATCCACGTTGTTCGACTTGTTGGCAGCCTCGCAAGCTCGGAGTCCGAGAATAACCGATTCTTGATCTTGTAGCCTCGAGTTCAAGCTATCAGCATTCTGGTTCGCCTGGACAAGAAGCTTTTGGTGGCAGCTCAAATCTTCGGATAAAGTGACGTATTGATTCTTCAAAGACGTATTGTCTGTATCAATTTTTGATTTGCTCTCTTCCAGCTTGATATTCTCTTTTGCCAGTCGCGAAGTCAGCTCTTCCAAAAGGCGTCGTTTAGCTTCAGTGCGACTCAGGTCGTTACTAATACAAGTACAAATGGAAATGAGGGTCAACCAAAATTATCTTTTAAAATGGGAATGAACAATGCGCGCACCTCAATTTGAACACCTCCTGTCCATGCTTGACATTGCTGTGAAGATGATTAGAGTTTCAGTTGATCTTGTCGCACTATCACATTCAGGATACTTGACTTACTCCTGTTGCTCGATTTCCAATGATTGCTCCGTTTGCTCTAACCTGGTATGAATACAAAGATTGAGATCAAAATGCTAAAAAGACGACGGCAGGAAAAGTTGAAGCTTGACTCACTTCAACCTGGCGGCTTCGAAATCCTTGAAAAGTTCTGCAAATTCTTGTTTCTGGGAAAATAACTGTTTTTCCAAGACTTGAATTGTGCTATGAAGTTTTTCTTCCTTTGTTGTTAAAGCAAAACAGAAGAGATAAATCCGAAATCAGTAATTTTGGAAATTCAGCGGAAACATACCAAGGGGAAAGCTTCCTAACTTCGAAATAAGATTTCTCATCCAAGCGGCCTAGGATTAACTCGGCCTTCTTTTGAACGGTCATTTCTAAAGGACTCAGAGGTGAGGAATTGGACATTTCAAGCTCTGGTGGATGCATTGCCATTTGGACTCACGAATGTTTTGAGATTTTTCTTTCCAGCTTTCCTCCATTCGGGACATATGGATCGATTGATGACCATTCAAGTTTTCAAGCTCGACTTTTTGGCGGGTAATTTCGGTGGCACAGATGCAGTTTTTACTAGTTTGCTCGAACTCTTCTTGTGGGCAGAAAAATTACTTACGAATCCTCTGAGACATTTCGGTGACCTGACCACTTTTGTTTTCAAGCTTCAAAATCATGTATTGAGTAATTTAACTGGTACGTCCATATTTCCTTTGCTAAAATCTGCTTACCTCTTTGCGTAGAATGTCAATCACCATTTGCTCTAGCGGTTTTTATTTGTTTTGGTTTGAAGAAAACGAAAAAAGAAAAAGGAAGAATTAGCCTGATGTAAAGATTTTGGTAGCTGCTTATGATCTTAGACCTGCGTACTTTTCTTCCGGTCTTCATCAATTTCTTTAGCAACATTGATTGCTTGGCGCGCATCTTGAAGGCCGGCATAAAGACAGCCGGGTTCGAGAATTTCGTCCACATGAATGCCTGATTTTTCGGGAAGACTGCGGAAAGCTTTGAAGATTTAACATAACCAAGTCTTTTAATCAATCGATCCCTAGGCAGTCTTTCTAGCTGATTTTCTGTCTTACCCTCAAGAGATTCATGGATCTCCTTTCGAAGACAACCTATCTCTTGGGAGGAAATTTCAGATTGTCTTTTTTCTAGTGCGAATCGGTCTCTCAATTGGAATTTCATTTCGCCAAAATTTTCGTCTAGTTTCTCTTTCCTGTGAGCGCAAGAACAGTGTTTCAATGAGTTATTTGCGCTGTGAAGTCAAGGTACTGAAGAAAAAGAAAAATGATTTACTCCGTCACAATCTTGGTAGTGAGCTTTTTTAAGCTTTCTCGTGATCGTCTTTTCTCAATTTCGTTCATGTCGATTTGATTTCTCAAGGTTTGGTTTTCTTTGACCTAAATGATCAATTTTCGAATTACGAAGTGAGTCAATAATAAGGAATTTGGGTTTTCATCTTAAGCTTCACTTACCGCATGATCCAAGTCTTCCACAAGAGTCCTGTTTTTTTCTCCTACCACGCTTAGCAAATCATTGATACTGGCCGCTTCTTCTTGGGTTTTTGAAGAAGAAGGCGCTAGGTACGAGCTTGGTGGAGAAATAAACTGCCTCTTCCTTACACCTGACTTGGAAAATGGAACGCTTCGCTTGGATATTTTTGTTTCGCGATGGTCTGCCATCAGATGAGTTTAGACCCAGAATTAGTTTCGCGGAAATTTCCGTCCCATAGCCTTTGCCTGACCGGGGAAAAGCCTTTTTTCTGGAGACGCCGGAAATATTTACCCTCTGAGACTGCAGGGCTTTTGTTACCTCCCGTATCTGCCATCCTTGGTTCGATATCAGTATCATTCTCCAATTGATCAATTGGAAAATCCTACAAGATTTCATGTCAATTTCGAATTAGATATGCTCCTCTTTTGACAAAAGTAGCCAAACTAAATCTCACAGTAACGAGCGACACGAGGCTGCTTCGGTCTGCGGTAGGTATCCTTGCAGCAGGAGCGGTCAATTGATTGAAAGTATTTATCGCCCCAGGGTGGATAATTCTACTAGCACTGGCAGTATCACCAGCACGCGAGTCCCTGGATGGCGAGTACTCGTATTCATTGCTGCTATCAGAATCTGACCTTGAGTGGATACGAGAGTGATCTTCGCCGCCAAAGTTTTCCTCGGATTTCCGAAAATTATTTCCTTCAACTGGGTAGTCGGTTGAGGGTACCAGTTTGAGACCGGCTTGAGAATCCTCTGCCCCGTATTGCGCTTGCGAAGATCTTCGAGCCTTGGTATCGCGCGAGGGAGGTTGTTGGACTCTTGGACGTGCACTATTCATTCTCGGGTCTGAAGCCCGCTCATTTTGAGGGTAGTACGAGGGTTCCTTGGGCCTGACAGCGTTCTCATCGCACGGCGGCTTTCGCAGCCGCAACTCTGATGTCCTGTTCGGAAGTGATGATCCACACGCGGGTTTATAATGAAAATTTTCCTGTAAGGCAGACGGCTTACGTCGATTATATGGTTGTGGGCTTTCGGCAGGACGGCCGAGTGCCCCATCAAAGGATGTGTTTCTATTGGTTTGTTGGGGAGGTGGGCCTCTATATTCTGTCGAAGTGGGATCTGAGCCTCTTGCTCGAGTCGACTGGGGACCAAGGCCCCTTCTCTTTGCTCCCAGCTGGGTTCGGAGCTGATTCGGAGAAGGGCGACGAGCATCCATCAAGAAAGGCTCACGGAAAGCTTTGAACTGGTCTTGATTAGGATCAGGAGCCAGGTTGACGAGCTTAGAGATGGATGGGTAAGTTTGAAAAAAAGAAGTAACAAATTGTTCGGAGGAAGCAAGCCTCTAATTAAGTTCAGCGATCAAGTAGACGCAGTTGAAGACCCCATATCCTGTTGACCGATTATTTCGAATCCGGTAATGTGCGCATACATTCAGAAATCATTACAGGCCATCAGGTTTAACGGCTGGAATAAATCAACCACTCTGACGTCATTGTACTTACTCTCCCCTCAAGGCACGACACCATCATGTGCCTTCTTTCGATGCGAAGGTAAGAAAACCAACAGAGCACACATCTGGATATTTGATTCTCTGGGATTTGGGCACAACTTTAATACCATCCTCTTCCAAATGTCCTGCCAATCTCCTTCAACCTTTGCCCATCAAAAGAGCCATGACTGTATATATCCAGCTGAGTTCTGGAGGCTGCAACCCCTCAACTCGTGGGATGAAGTCAGAGTAGGCTTACATGGGGGGTGGGAAGGCCCGTATGATTATAAGGGCAAACACAGCCCTCTTCAGCTCGAAGAGCTGTTGAATAATTTGAGGTCTAGTCGAAATCATCTGCCCGACCATGTTGATTCTTGAAGCCCTATTGGAGCGGGTACGTGAGTTTTAAAACCCTTATTTTACAAGGCTTATGCCTTGTAAAATGGATGCCTTGGGAGATTACGGCTCAGGCCGGGGAAATCATACTTTTCCATGTGTTATGTACTTTCTTCAGCCCTTGTAAATAATGCATGGTGAAACATGCTTTGGTAACCTCCTGTACACAGCCCATTTATACAATATTACACTGTTTATCTTGCGATCCTTGTAACACCACCTTTGGAACTTCAATATTCCATATTCAGACAACAAATTCGCAATGTACAGAATACAAGGCTGGTTTTACAAGGCTGTATTCACTGGTAATACTCTAGCCCCAATAGGAAGAAATATATTTTCACAAGCCTCAAAGCTGTTGTCACGCTGGATGTTATTTTGGTATCGGTTGCTCCTTCCCCATCTATCTACTGTTCCACTTCTTGCTACATTAGTTTTTTTTACCGTTCCGCTTCTCACTACATTAGCTTTTTTGATATTGGACATGTCAGACAGCACCAGCTTTCACGAGGAGTTATCCCAGCAGTCGAATTCCCCTGAAGACCCTGCCTTGGAGCCACCAATCAAAGGCCAGAAGATTTTCTTTGCCCCATCTGGTAATGAAAAAACCTTTATCGATCACGACTGCAAGCTTGACGGTGATGGATATCCGCTGTATCCCAATCGCAAGACAATCTTTGTCAAAACTCCCGATATGATTGTCCACAATTGGGGATTTGTTGGATTCCCCAAGACATCAAATGTGGAATGGCGAGCGGATCGAACCTGGAAAATGATCCGAATGTTTTGCCTTGGCGCTTTCATCTGTAACCAGCCCGGATGCCAGTGGGTAGGTTCTCCGCCAACCGCCAAGGATGCAATAGCTGAATACTTGCAAACGTAAGCCTTTTTCTTTTTATCTTGCTATATCATTTTCTTTCTTGCTTCTGGCTTGGTTTTTGTTCAGTGCTGACCAGTTCACCACCCCCTCACCCTATCAGGGATCCAAAATGCCCAGGTGCAGCCGGGAAATGTCCTGGGAAAGTCGGACATCTGGCATGCAAGAACACCATCACTCGGATCGATGAAAACACCATAACAAAATGGGGTATTCTCCGACACCATGGCACCCACAACCACCCATGGCCAGCCCCAAAGAAGCCGGACCCACTGGCCAAGCTCAAGCTCAAGAAGGAGATTATGAAAAACCCAACTGCTGGGGCTTTCAAGCTCAAGGTCATTTTTCATCTAAGCTGGCCGTGGATACCATCAATTCTGATCAATCTGTTTTTTATTGTGGATTTTCAGTTAGGCAAGCCAACAGCCCCTTTGAACCCATTTGAGAGTGTGACCCAGATCCACGAGGCCTTTGTGAACATGGATCGGTTGCGCTACCATCGTCGACTTGTCCTCACCGAACTCGGAGTCAACCCAGAGAAGGGAGGAGCTGGATTAGGAGATAAGTTCTTACATGATATGTTTCAATGGAACCAGTAAGTCTACCATCATTTTTATTCTATTGCGTGTTGCTAATGTAAACCTTGTAGCATGGGGCTTCTCATCATTTCATCATCTTTCAAACCAGGTATCGAACATTTCACTTTTCAAACAAAGTGGATGGGGGAACGATTGGTCACCCGTGATCACAACAACGAGGTTTACAGCGGGGGGCTCCTATCGGACGTGACCTACAGACTCTTTGAGACCGGCTATCTACTATCCACATCGATGTTCTGCGAAGAGACCGCCCGTTGGATACCAGTTCAGCTCTCCTGGATCCGAGGGCTTAGCGCGGAATACTACCAGGCCCATTTTGCTACACTCTTTGAGCAGTTTGATCGGCCCTCTTTCACAACAGCAGATCGCGAGACCCTCGTTCGCCAGGTTGTAGATTTCTCACTGGCTCAGAGGGAGGGGTTCATTGCGGCTTACATGAAGGTGTTTGGAGTCACCGATCGACAACAAGCCCTTTCAAAGTTGAAGGGCTGCCATGAGCATTTTCGTGCGCAGGTCACCCGTGTGAAACGCAATCGGGCGGTTGTCCCACCGGAGCAAGAAGTATGAGAGTCCTTTTATTCTTCATTTCTCTTATGTTTATGTTGCTCGATGCTGACCCATTGGTGCAGGCCCAATTTCAAAAACTGTGCCTGGATCTTTTGCAATTACCTGAGCCAGGAAAGCACACTCATGAGCAGAAGATTGACGAACTGCGAAGGCTCTTCCCAAAGACCAAACGATGGTTGGATTGGTGGACAATGGTTGACGTTGAGGCCATGCTATTTCCTTCAAAACGAGCAATGATAACCAACTCGGAAAACAGCACAGACAACCTTCCTGATACAACCAATGCTCAAGAGAGCATGCACAGGCTATATTACATGATAAGGTTAGTCTTTCTCCCATCTTGATTTGTGTTTAAGTGGCTGTTGACTGACAATTTGGGCCTCAAAGTGACGGGAAAAAATGTTTGATGATTGGGATGGCTGAGCTTTTCGCTTTTGTCAAGGCACTAGAGGACGACTGGCATGCAGTCATGAGGGGAGTCTCGATTGAGTACGGCTCCAAGAACAAGACTCAACACGACCTTGCAATCTCAATTGGCTGGCAGAAGCCACCAAAGAGGAACCCAGCTAACCGCAAGAAAGCCGATCAGAACGATGGACGAGCTCCTGACACAACCGCGACATTGCTTCCTAAGAATGTGGGTGGTCGGCCAAGGAACTCTCCAAACCTAAACAAGGATCCGTTCTCAACGTACATCTCTTACTCGGCATCCCAAGATTCGGCCAAGAAAAACCGCTGCTGGATGGCTGCAGCACTTGAAAGCCTATACGCACTGTTCAATCCACTCTGGCTTCGTGGGACCAACGGGCTCAAAGCAGACATCTTCACCACCCTGATCAAGCATTTCAACTCACGAACGACCTGGGAATTGACTCAATCGGGACACATCCGGACCTTCTTGTCAATCGGGCAGAACTCCTTGCAAACCGCGGCAAACAAATTATCCCCTGGTAGTTTTAACCCAGGGGTCTTTTGTTCATGTGATCTGTTCATTGATTTGCTCATTGATCCAACATTCAGGAAACAATCAAAATCAATGTACCCACCTCGAGAGCTATTTACTGTTACCGAGGTCCGCACAGCAACCTGTCAAGATCGTCCGTCGTTTGATCAGCCCCATCCTCGTGGGATCCGGGACATAACACTCTTGCGTATTCAGAAAGAAACTTTTAACGCTGCAAATATCGAACCCTCTTCAATTCAAGCAATAATTTCGAGATGGACGACTGACGGCATTGTCACAGTTTCAGGTTTATGCTGCCAGGCCTGCCCTTCAACTCAGAAGACTGACAAGCGTCACCACCTCATTGAAAAGTCGGTCTTAACGATCGAGAACGAACCCCCCCAGCACTTGTACTTGTTGGTGCAAGTATCGACGATCATTGATCAAATGGCTCAGCAAACCTTCATGGCCGGACTGGATTTCCCCTTCAAGTTGGATTTCCATGGGGTTTCTTACACTCTCTTTTCTCGCGGGTTCTGGAACGGGGTCCATTATTGGGCAAAGATGCTCAAGAACGTTGGCGGCATCTCAGGGGTATGGATGCACGACGATCGAGAGAATGGAGGGATTGCTCGGCTGATCAGTTCAGACCATAGCACTATCGCTGGACAGGCCCGGCACACAAGCTGGGTGTTTTACTCGCGAGCTTGGATTCCAAGTGAGGAGGCATTTGTGGTTGAAAGCATTGCGAGGATCTCTCGGGACAACGATGGAGCTCAAGGTTTGATGCCGTTTGTCCATCTGGGCATGCTCCTCAACATCTCACCAATCAAACTGGGTCCGAGCGATGAAAATTTACATACGTTGGCTTCAGTTGATACACAAGTACCTCAGCTTAAAAGAATGGACTCGGATGTTGCAGAGCTTGCCTCTGCTCCAATGATTTTTGACTCTTCAGCGGCTCAAACACAAACCTTAGCGAGCACAACTACTCAAACCCAACCGTTGGCTAGCACTACATCGGGAGGAGACCAACTTGGCGATCGTAAGAAAAAAGCTTCCGGAGAGTTTAAGATCCGATTGAAATTCATGAAGACTACCGACCCGCAACTGATGAGTGGCAATGCTCCAAAGATTGAAGAGCAGGACAAGGCAACTAAAGTTGAGGATCAAGCGTCACAGATTGGGAGGAAGACGAACGAGAAGAATGTTGGGCCAGCAAAAAAATTGAACGGCCCAAAAACTAAAACGATCAAGCCCAAACGGGCGGGCACTCGAGCAAGTACCCGCAAAGCTCAGCAGGATTGATTTGTTAGCCTGTCGTCCCCCTGGCGAACACGTGTCACGATTGGCAATCAGGATGTTCCTTTTTTTCTCGGCTCTTGTGTTTCCTTTGTAAATAGTCCAATCCCTTGTGAAATTCTCATATACCACATGCTTTTGTGAATTTTACATTGCTCATCCTTGTGAAATCGGAACCCTTGTGATGGAAGCCTTGGAAAATTCAACTTTTAAAGTCTTAGACGCCCTTCTGCGACGCTTCGCTTTTGCAAGGCATATGATTGTAAAATCTTCGTTTGTGAAACTACGTTTCCTCTCGCTAGGTGGGAAAAATACACAGAATCTTTTACAATGTTTTTTTTCCAAAGTAGACCGAAATCACCGGTCCCATGGAAAATTAAGAATAGCTTATGGCTCAAGACATTTTGCCAAGGCATCCATTTTACAAGGCATAAGCCTTGTAAAATAAGGGTTGTAAAAATCAACCCCCCCCCTATTGGAGCTAATGTTATCATCCCTTACTGAGGTATTCATATATATATATGTATATCGAAAATTTCAACGATTTAGCGGTAGTCAATACTCTATGAAAGCCAGCACTCTCTATGGTAATACAAAGGTCTCCAAGCACAGGTAGCACGAGCAGAAAAAACAACACGATCTTGAACAGGATTGAGAATGTCTTTTTAAAGTCCAGAAGATTGGAGTTTCTCTAAGAAGACATAACTGATTCGAGTTCTTTACCGAGATCTTTGATGGCCGGATTCGCTTTCAAAAGTCCAGGGTTATTCATCAAGCCATCGATGATCGATTGGAATCCCAATGACTCAAGTAGAGTTTGTAACGATGAACTCGATTCGGACAAGTAGATCAGTTTTCCTATCGTCGCTATCAGTCGATAAACTGAATCCAACACCAAACCGGACAATTTTTCAATTAGAAATTGTCCAGAAAGGTTGGAATCTAGAGAGAAAAAGGGGGGACTGACTCATTTCAGAGTTCGGCTCAGTTTTTTTGGCTTCCCTGTCCAGACTTTCGACCAAAGCACTCATCGACTCGACCTCCCACTCTTCCTCCGAGCCTGCACGATCCACGGGTCGAGTATCTTGCCAATCCACTCGGATAGAGGCCCAGCGAGAGACCAGTCCATAAAAGACTCCGGAGGCCAAGACTTGAACGTCAACATCGCCGTCCAACAACCTTCCGACGACAAACCTGAGAAACTGCCCCTCGTTCTGAGTCTCCCTCTCGATCATCTGTTCTGCTAGCTTTGGAGCTCCTAGCCCATTGGATAGTAGCCGGAGAAGGGTCAAGGAAAATGGTCGCGCAAGCTGAGTTCCCTTGAGACTCTGTGAGTTTCCAATTCGAATTGCCTCGTAGAGTGGGTTGGAGTCTGGCGGACAGATGAACAGTTGGTCAACATATTCCTCCCTCAGGACGGCTAACCGCAAGAAGTCTAGCGCGGGGAAGCTGTCGGAGGAACCCAGACTGTCCAAGACTTGAGTGGTTGCCCGGGCCCATTGAAGAAAGCGATCAGGACTGTTGAGATCTGTCTTGTTATTCAGAAATGGAATGACCACCCATTCGAACGTCTGTTTAATGACCTCGCGCGGACTATTACTGTCTGAAGGGAAAGAGTCCAAGAGCTTGTTTAACGCCTTCTCAAAATTGAACACTTGTGGGTATAAGATCGGGCTCGGCGACAAAGCTTTTAGCTTTGGTAGGCGCAGTTTCAGATGTGGATGTGCTGTTCGCCAATCAATACAAAATATCAGTTTTCTGACGGGCAGATATATTATACGAAAAACAACTTACGAGGATAGGCAGTGTAAACCATCAAATTAATTTGGGTTTCTAATTCTGTCTGATTAGCACCTTTCATTTCTCCAACCTGAATGTGACTTACGTTAGTTTGTTTTATCGAGAGGATCATAGTGATTTGGAAAGTAAAAGCAATTGATCAAGTTTTCTGTGAGTATTATTGAGTGTCAACTTCGTTTGTTGTACTTGAAGTACTGACCTCTTTTTTGTTAATGAAGAACTTAAATGTAGGGGTGGCGCGGATTTGATAACGCTGGCTTAGCTCCATGCTGGTCGCGGTGTCAACTTTGATGAATTTGATATCTTTCACCTTGGGCTGGCGGCCGTGGTGCACGTTTGATCCGGCCGGAGTGGAATGATACTTTCTAGCTAATTCTTCATAGATGGGGGCTATCACCCGACAGGGTGGGCATCCTCTCTCGTTGGTGAAGTTTACTACCACGCAATAGTGTTGACTGAGCTCTCTATCAAAAGCAGAGACGGCCGAGCATGAGACGAGGGGCGTATCCGTGGGAGCGCTATAGGCCGAAGAGGCAATATCCGCCAGTAGATGTGCTGGATTCGGGGCAGATGAAGTGGTTGAAAGCTGAGGGGCTAAGGGGGCCGGATTGGAGCCTCGGAACATTTGCTCGATCATCGGCCTCATCGATGCACCTAATGGGGTTGCAAGAAATTCTTGCGGTAGACTGGATGAGCAAAATTGGCCAGTTTCGCATGATCAAGTATAGAAAGGAAGAAGGAAATCAGGTCAATCGGACAGTTATCCTTGGGAGAGATGGGACCAGGTTGGGAGAAGCATTACTTGAGAATGTAATCCGGGACACTTGCACCATTGAGAAATCCAACTAATTCGTTTGAAAAATTGTTACAGTTCTTTTCGAGTAAATGATAGCTGAATTATCGCAATTGAAGGAGTCAACTTGTATAGGTACACGAATTCTACAATGGGAAATAGATGAGACAGAACGAGACTAACACATCGGCAGTCCAAGTTTGACGAAGTCCATCGATATACTCCATCAAGGTTTGAGGATCAATCATTGTGGACCCCAGATCAATAATTTTCAGAGGCTTTCCATGATGACTCTGGCCAGGCGCGCAGGTAGTAATTCCTAGTAGAAGAAAACCAATATTTTTAATTAGTCTCAAGATTGACTGCTTAAGTCATCTATACAGTTATGAAATCGAACCTTGACCGAAGAAGATTTCTACTTGGTCATCGTAGACCACCGAGGTGTGCCAAATGGCCTCAAACTGACGCCCCGTCCATCCGAGTGACATCGATCGAGCGAGTCCATTGGAGAGATCGTAGGCGTATAATTTGACCGAGTGAGTTGAATCTGATTGATCTTGTGCTGAACCCATATTCCTCTTTGCCAAGTCGTCTTGTGAGTGGTACAAAGACGAAGAACTTGGTCGAAAATCGGGATGGCCCACAATCGCAACCTTACGTCATCCAAACATCCGATTTGCTGTGCACCAGCAATCACCTCAAGGCTCAGATCACAGGCTTAAAATCAGCAGCCAGGGCCCAGCGAATCAACACACTTTCAGCTCCGACAAGCTAATCATCATTCATGCAATCCCTACTTTCAAGTGGCCTCTCCTGGTAACACCATACTCCAATCAGACATTCTCCAACCATGAAATTGCAACAGAGGTCGGACAGAATTTGCAGATATCGGAGATTACGTCATGCGTTGTTAGGCTAGCGGTAAACTGGGGCCTTGCCATTGGGCAAATGGCCTCGTCAGGGGTTCGACTCCCCTACAACGCACGTGTCTGCCATGGTTCGTGGCATCCCTTTTGGTGGCGATGGATGGATCACCTGTTTTGGAGTGCCAATTTTGGTTAATTTCGAACTTAACACAAGTCCTTCCGAAGGAGGGACTGTGACCTCCTGTAACAACTAAGGTCACATGCTCACAGCAGCTCAAGACACGCAAAAGAGGAGATGATCCACAGCACGCGCAAACGGATTGACCTAGCTAACTTTTCTTCAAAATAAGGCAAGGTTGATTTTTATTATGGAAATTTGTTGTTTAATGATAAAACACAGATTTTGCCATGAGGAAAGAAACCCTTGAGGCAAGTACAAGCTCTTAAATAATTTCACCTAACTACAACCAAATCACACTATTCATTTATTTTGTTACTACTAAACTCTTTACAGATTAACAGAAATATCTTCTTCCTCCTTAGATGGTTATTCTCTTCATTCTTTATCTAGAAAACTTCTTCTTTGATTAAAATTGAGGTATTGAACCAGATTTTCTTCTTATAAGAATACCAATATCTTGAAGTTTTTTCTTCTTAATATCTTACCTACACCTAGGGTGCACACCGACATGGGCCAATACTGGTTTTCACCGTGGATCCCACACATGGGGCCATGGGAGGTCGGACCAGGACCTGACAGTCCACACCACGGGTACATTCCCAGGTCATCCGGTGGAGCCAACATGGAAGCTCACAGGGATGTAGAGATTGTTCGTCCGTACTTTTTGCAGGTACCTGGTACCTCCTGGGGGGTACCCCTCGCACCCACCCTGCACCCGCCAGGAGGTGCCAGGTGCGGTACTTGGTACCTATTTTTGTGAAAAATTGAACAGGTACCTAGGTACCTCGACAGGTACCCCCTCACTTCCCTACCAAAAATCAAAATGATGGTGGCCTTCTACTCCAAGAAGGTACCTTGGCTGCATTGAAACAGGGACTCAAGGATAACAATAAGTCTAACAAAAAATCAAAAAGGAAGGTGATGGTTTTGGATGACAATGACGATTCTTCCAATTAGTTATAAGTTGTAGATAGTTTAAACTTTGCAATAAATTATTAAATATGAACAAATGAAAAAAGTGACTTGGGACTGATGTTTTACAATAAATATTAAAAAAATAGAAAAGTAAGATTGTTCCAATTAGATGTAGATATATTACAACAGATATTAAAAAATGCCAAAAAAGTGACTTGTGAGTAATATTTTACAATAAATATGAAAAAAATAATAATAATAATAAGGTGGCTTGGGACTCTGGGAGTGAAACTAGGTGAAAAAGAGAGGGGGGTACCTGAGGTACCTGCAATGGGTACCTTGGGTACCCCCCGGGAGGTGTCTGGTGTGGTACATGGTATCTATTTTCTTGAAAAAATGAACAGATACCTAGGTATAAACAGGTACCTAGGTCCGAACAAACAATCTCTACAGGGATGGATTTAAAGAATCGGCAGCGGGCCCAAAAAGGATCACATGCAGAATCAAACCCCAGGAGTGGACCAAGGCCAAGCATCTGGGAGGATGCTTGACTGGCCATTGGTCCACATTAACTTGAAGTAAACACCTCCTTCCGAGACCACATTGGCTCAGAGTCATCATTTGCTTCACTCTCAAGCAAAAACAAAAACATTAAGTTTTTTTTTTTTTTTTTAAATTCAACACTCATTTTTCTCAAGTTTTCAGACCATCAGGACCCATATTGGAGGGTCCTGGTTGAAGGTGGAATGAGGGTCAGCGGTTGTGGAACCAACGTGTGCAACGAGCCCACGTGCTCCCGACCGATTGGAATGTGGTTTTTCAGAACCATTGGCAAAAAAGATGCTCAATTTGTGGAACTGACGACAAAATTGGAGCTCACAGAGCTTACCAAAATTTTACAGAGCCAATCTTGTGGGTTCCACCAACGGTGGGCTGCTACGCTATGCTGCACTAAACAGTCCACTAATGCTAGCGTAGCAACCCTCAAAACAGTGCGCCAAACCTGTAGCGTTAGCGTGCTGATAGTGCCACTACGCTATGCTACAGCGCTTTTAGCGGCAAAAACCACTAAAAAGTGCTGTAGTGTAGCAAAGTGAGCCCTTTTTTTTTGGCCCACACGCATAGCATTAGCGGTGTCGTGGTGAAATTCCACTGTGCTACGCTTAACACTAATGGGAATTCTGCTGTGTTACGCTACACTAACCGCTACGGTCAGTGTAGCGGCCCACCGTCGGTTCCACAGATCGGCAGTGTTTTGTCGGTTCCACGATCCTGTGTGGCAGGAAGTGCCCCTGGGGTGTACACAACATGATGTACAAATTGTGCCATGGCTCCTTTATCAGTCTCTCCTAGGGTTCTGACCCAGCGCCTTGGATCCAGGTTTCACGCCTCCTGCAGCCAAACCTGGCATGTATCCGGCCCCATGCTGGGTTCTTCTGGATCTTCCACATACTTTTTTTTATGTATATTTTGCTGTATTACACCAAAAGAAGGGGGTCAGACAAGAAAAGACACAGTGCACAGCGGCCCCCGTCCAGGGTGTACCAGGGGATTCCCGGTCGAAACCCCCAAGGTCTGGGGGTTTTCAGCATCCAACTGGATGCCGCATCTCCCAAGGCCAATACCAAACCCTGAACCCGTCCGCGGGTTGACTGGATTCTTCCGGATTTTCGGGGTCCGGGTTGGAACCCTAGTCTCCCACACCAGGTATATCTCATATGGGAATATTTCTCAAAGCTAGGTGTTCAGATGAGATCTGTAGGTCTTTCTAGGACTACCAGCAATATAAATTCAAGTATCTATCTACAATTTCCAAAGGGAACAGCATCATTGCCAAAGATTGTAATGGAGTTGAAAGCAGTTTATGAAACTTAAGGATAGGTTGAGACAAGATCAGATCCAAAGTTTGTTGATTGGGTTCAAGAGTGAGAACTCGAGACTGCGTTGAATCCAAGAGCTTGCTGAATGTTCAATCTAATAAACATTAAATCAGTCCAGGTTGAGAGTGCAAGAGAGATAACTCCAGAAGTAAGAAGAGTAGTCAAGAAGCAAGAGTTTTGTTGTCATTTTATCTGTCCTGGGCAAAAACTCAACGGTTTAAAGTACTCAATAACAACAATATATACTTGTTGTATATATATTGATAAGAAATAAAAAAAGGTTCATACCAAAAAAAAAGCAAAAAGAAAAACACTGGAATGAATGAAAATACACATGACAGGGGGATAAAAAGAGAAAAGTGTAGAGAGAAAGAGGTTGAAAAAGTGGGATGTTGTGGTGAAAATGGGGACAAATAAGCTGATTTATGTAAAGTCCAAATTTTCAGTACTGTAATCTAAAAAACCAAAACAAAAAAGGTGAATAGGAATAAAGTATCTAACAAAGATGGTTGTCAACACAAACAAACAAAAAAACATAAAGTGCATGAAGGAAGAAGAAGCAGTTAGTTAAATGTTGGAAGCTAATCAACCTGATGGTCTTTAAGGTTTAGGGTCATTCTTTTTTTGGTTAGATTGGGCGTTATTGGCCGGTCGACGAGAATACCCTAAAGAAAGAATAACGCAGAAAAACAACCGATAGTGAGTAATTGGATCGTATATTCTTGTGTGAATTAATATTTCCAGGGAAAGTTTGCTCACATTCATCGAGGATCTTTTGAGGGATTCGGTTGAGTTGTTCGCGAGGGAAGATCCTCAGTAACGACCATGCAAGATCTAAGGAGTCAAAAATCGACCTGTTCTCGTTGTTCCCTTGGGTCACAAATGTGCTTTCAACTTTTGTGGAAACAACAATTCTGACATCAGTTCCCATCAATCTTATAATGGGGTATCTACTTTGGAGTCTTGATTTATGTATGTTTAGGAAAAAGAGGGGGGAAATTTTGGTATTGAAGAGGCCCTTGTTCACTTACATTTATCCAAGAACTCGAGCGCTAGCTGTAAGAAGACAAATAGGCAAGAATTTGGAGTTGATGAATACGTCGATTAACCGGAAGGAAGATCAAACTCTTTGCTTACTTTTTCTTCCGACGACAGGGCCTCTTCACCAACCACTGCCTTCATAGCGGCGGCATCTTTCCCGATAGCGTATTTAGCGTACTATAGAGGAAAGTCAAAGGAATAGCTTGATCAGAATCTCTGCTAGAAGGTAGAAGAAGATAAACTTGTTGTGACTGACTAATTGATTGGAAACATCTGAATGATCTTTGCGAGTCAGACCTTCGCCAACAGCAGATTTCATCAATCGTGATAATGAGGGCAAGACATTGATCGGAGGGTAGATTTGTTTATTGTAGAGTAGTCGATCGACGAAAATTTGACCTTCAGTGATATACCCAGTCAAATCCGGAATAGGATGGGTAATATCTGCACAAAAAGATTGAAACGAAATTCAAACTCATGTCTAGACAACTGGACACTATCCATCAAAACAAAAAAAGGGTTGAGACAGAGCTGGAGATTCATACGGACCATCGTTGGGCATCGTCAAAATGGGAATTTGTGTGATACTCCCATTGCGACCCTCCACACGTCCGGCTCGCTCGTAGATGGTGGACAAATCAGTGTACATGTAACCGGGATAACCTCGTCTTCCTGGTACCTCTTCTCGAGCGGCCGATACTTCTCGGAGGGCATCGGCGTATGAGGACATATCAGTCAAGATGACCAACACGTGTTTTTCTAATTGGTAGGCAAAATATTCAGCCGTAGTAAGAGCCAATCGTGGGGTAATGATTCTCTCGATCCTGAGCAAGTAACCAAGTATGTGCGGCAGTTAGTAGGTCAGACATCCGGAGGATTGGGATAAAAGCCTGACATGACATACGTGGGATCATTGGCTAAGTTAAGGAACAAGGTGACTCGATCAAGTGAGCCATTTTCTTCGAAGTCTTGTCTAAAGAATCTGGCAGTTTCCATATTGACACCCATGGCAGCGAAGACGATTGAAAAGTTGTCTTCATGATCATCATGAACCGATTTGGTTGGCTTCCCTTGTCCCGGGGAAACTCCCCCTTTTTTGACTAAGCCGGCCTGTCGACAAATCTGTGCAGCAATCTGAAGAAGAGCAAAATTAGAAAAGGGAAGGAGGGGTGAAGTCAGTTAAGATCGGATAGGATGAATACATCGCAAAGAGGCTGTACTGACTTCATTGTGAGGTAAACCAGCTGCCGAAAAGATTGGGATTTTCTGCCCTCGGGCGATTGAGTTCATTGCATCGATCGTGGAAATCCCGGTCTGGATCATTTCTTCGGGGTAGATTCGAGAGTATGGGTTGATGGGGGATCCTAATGAGGTGAAGCATTTGGAGTGGTTGGAGAATTAATGATGGTTAGAGGAAGGCTGGTGATCAGTTGGAGGACGAGAAGGAGAACGTACCATTGATGTCCAAATAATCTTCCGCGAAGACTTTGGGACCCTTGTCGATAGGTTGACCGGATCCGTTGAAAATTCTTCCTAGCATGTCTTCACTGACCGGTAGCTTCATACTTGAGCCACTAAACTCGACATGGGTAGCTCGGACGTCGATACCAGAGGTGCCCTCGAAGACTTGGACGATCGCTTTCTTTCCGTTCACTTCGAGTACCTGGCCACCTCGCTGGGTTCCATCCGGTAGGGTCAAGTTGACGATTTCATTGTATGATGGGAAGTGAACGTTGTCTGATGAAGATGATGGATTGTTAGCTTTCCCTTCCCAAAGACCAAGAGATCGCGATAGTTTTTTCAAATTTCAAAACGTACCCAGGACGACCAAAGGACCGTTGACCGCTGAGACGGTACGATAGTCGATCCTAGTACCCAATTGTGGGTCAGTCTCTGGTTCTTCTTGTGAGTTTAGACAGTGATAGTTTGTTTACCTTGGTTTGAAGTTCTGAGTGACGGCGGCTTGGTTGATTTTGAATGCCTCATTCTGCGAGATTCTGGGATCGTTTACCATGTTGTGAGTTATGAGACTATGCTCTGTTGTCCGCTGTCTTGTGCAGTCGATGTGGTGGTGGTTTTGATCAGTTTCTTGGTGAGGGGGATGACGAAGGAGTGCTTGTGTTTATAGTTTGGCCTGACAATCGAAGCCGAGTGGTGTCACAGTCTGTGACATCACCACTCCTCACGATCTGACACTCCACTCAAAGTTCAGACTGACATAAACAACTGCAAGTCAAGGTCAAAGAGCATCCCCAGCCGAACTTATCGCAAGTCTCAGGCTGCGGGGGGCGCATCTGGCAGCGTAGCGCTGGCCAGGCGGTTCCCGAAGGGAACTCCCCGCAGGGGAGACTTGGGCCAGAGGTCAACAAACTCAGGTGCTGAGTTTCGATTGTTTTGGTGGGAGCGTCACAAGATTTGAAATCCTGATGCTCCCTCAAAACTTTCTTGATGTTTGGTCTCAAATTTTTAAAGACCTGCCTGATCTTATTGATCAGGCCAAAACTTAGAAGTTGCACCTCGCAACTGTAATTAATAATGATTTTATAAAATCAGCATTTGAGCTTTCTTTTACGCTGACATAAGCGGTTTGATGAACTCGCACACGCCAAAAAAGCTCAACTTCAGTTGAAAAGTTGTCATTTTCAAAAATAACTACATCAAAACTCACAACATGACACAAGAATGTGAGCAGAGGGAAGAATGTACAAGAAGCAGACCCTCCTTGGGCCACGAGTAAATTAGATAACAGTGGAAGAAGAAGAGCATAGGCAGAAAAATGCACAGAAAACTGGGTTTCAAGCCTAATTTTGAAAACTCAGCACGCGGGGATTGCCGCATCTGTCTTAGGCCTCCACTGGCGTGGACAGCTCCGCTGCTCGCTCCCGCTCCCGCCGTGGAGGCCTAGTTAGGCTCAATCCCCAGCAGACCAGCCAAGCTCATTCCTCTTAAGATAGACTGCCAGTCTGATCCAATCAATCTTCGAGTTTCAAGTGCCCCTAGCACTACATATGAAATTGACTGTGCACATTAGTAATCCTACAGTACAACTCCTGAAGAGGTAAATGTGGACTTATCCCCACAAAATCTTAATGCAGACTCCAGAGTGCTAGGCATTTGGCCAGTTTCACAAAGACCAGCAATCATAATTCTGATGTAAAAATATTTCTTGGATTTCTTTACTCTTAATCCTCAGTGGTTTTCTTCAGCAGGAAAAATGCAGTTTGAATTGCCAAATGTGCTTGCAGAACCTTGGAAACCGCCCACAAATCATGATGAGGGTAACTTAGGGTTCTCAAAGTTGAAGCATACAAACATACATACAAGACTACATACAACAGAATACAAAACATAAGCTGTTTTTCTGCTGGGGTAGACGGGGGTATGCATCCAGAACGGGGTTTGTTGCACGGGTATGGATTAGCGCATGGAAAAAAAGCTATGAAATTGTGTATGTACGGGAGTATGTACGAGCCGTATGTCGGCCCGATTTCAACTTTGAGAACCCTAACTGTGTAGGAGCAAATTTCCCAAAGCCACTCATACCCATTTTATGCTTATCCTCCCTCTTGGGGGAGAGAAGTGGAGTCTGAGAATATTGAAAAAATTACCTGTAATATTCAATTCTTTCTTCTAGGAGGCCTCCAGGCTCCAGCCAGTGGTTTTTTTTCTCCTATCTGGGAAGAGTTTCGAGTTCTCCCTGCTAGGAGCATCCAAATCACTACCCTCATTCTCCAAAGAAAAAAGTGTGAGAAAGTATTAAGAATTAGATTAACTCAAAAATGAAATCCCCTAGATGAGTACCCTTGAAAAAAAACTAAATTCATACAGTTTTGGTACCTACCCTCTTCATTATTTGCCCAAACATTCATACCTACTGGTTATCCCCATTTATAGAGGGTTACCAAGGTCCTGGGTTTGTGAGATTGAATCAATTTGGGAAGCATCAAGATTCACAGAGTTAAATCTTACAACCAGCCCAATACTTGAAAAGGATTTCATCAATATTTGAAATTGAGCCTCACATGATCATAAACAATAAGACAAGGAGTCCATGTGGGAGGGTTAAAATTCATAGCTAAGAATGGATTGATTACACTTCTATAGCGCATTTCACCCGGTTAATAGCACTATTAAAACTCTCAGAAGCCATGCAGAAATGTTCTCTTAGTGTCAAAAACCACATTTTGCAAAGATTTACAGATTTAGGAAGATCATACTGAGTCTCACTCAAAGGTATCAGATGGAAGGATAGTAAGGCTATAGAAGAATCAAAGCGACGACAGAGGTTGTCGTGCAATATCCCAAGATGAATCACTTTTGCCATCTGCATTGGATTTTCGTCGATTTCATATATGACCTTCAGAAATACTTGGAAGCCGTTATCGAGACACTTGATTTCGTGATCTATTGAGGTGATCTCATCGGAACATAGTTGCGTACCGATCGTGAATGGCGCTTTGCTGATAGGCGTGTCAGATAGTTTGTTGAAGAATATTCTGAGTATTTTGATGAATGATCTAGGCGCCTTGACCAGCCTAATGACTTGTACGCTTAGAGGGATGTCCCATTCGTATGCGTCAGTCAAATGGCTAGTGCTGGACCGATTATCTTGGTGGTGATCGTTGGAGTCGATATCAGACCGAATGTCTTCATGTTCATTTGCAGGTTCAGCTTGATCATCAGATTCAAATTCAAGCAGTTTTTCTATTCGGGGTTTGACGATGATTCGACTGATTAGGTCTTCCAGAATCGGATCGAGTTTAATTGCGAACCTTCGACAGTCGTCCTGGAGAATACTGAAATCGGATTTCTTGGACCATTCGATCAGACGGTCGATTGCCCGCAAGGTTTGGGCCGTTGCTGCGTTGATAAGATTGCTCGAGTGGAGAGTTAGTTCAGATTCAACGTAAGAACTGATCAGAGGATTCTTTGGAAGGGCTCGAATGAATCGGGCAAGATGGTTGAATAAGGTCTGGACATGTTGATGCATCAAGTCATTCATTTCGTCTATCAGTTCAGTGGCCCTATAGACTTTCAAGCCACCATAATCACGATCATTCTTCTTGTATGAGTGCAACGGATCCACAACAATCGGGGCAATGGATTGGACAAAATGATTTATTTGATCCACGGTGTGAACGAGTCGGAATAAGATTTCAAGAACATCGGGAAGTTTTGGATTTGGAAATCTTCCAGGTAGATCGTCGAGGTTTAGTGATTCCAACAAGTCGCCGAGTTGCTGTTGTAACGAAGGTAGATAGGAGTTTTGCATTTGAAGGAGGAGACCATTGAGATTGTCGATTTCGCCGATTGACAGAGCTTCCCCTCGAGCATATCTCCAGTTAGCATGAAGCCATACCGTATCGTCATCAATATCCCAGGGCCGCTCGCTCTCTTCATCGTCTATGTCGGTCGATATCCTGCGGTATCTTCTAGGAATACTGTTGAGCAGCTCGATAATGAGATCTGGAAAGAAATGAGACAATTTAGCAGAATGTTTGGGCAGACTTGATTTCACTGGGCCAATGAATGCAGTCATACGTACCGGTGACGCTATTTGGCCTGGTTTCATGGTCGAGCATTGTGGTTTGGTCGATGGTACAACACTGGAGGGAACCCCATGTCCCTCGATTCATTGTCCATAGACCTTGAAAAGCTGTTAAGCCCCCAAACGAGTCCAAAGGAGGGGGCTCAGGCCTTATGTAACTTTAAGATTTTCATGAATTTTTACTGGTGGAAAATGACAACACATCCCATCTTTCTCTCACAAATGTTGGTTTTGGATGGTACCCACAATTGCATGGCACATGGCACCATCTAAAAGGCCTTGTAAAGTTTGTGATTTCTCTGCTGCAGGTCACTTGCATGCCTAAATACAGTGAGGTACAAATGACCCAGATTGATGAAATCATGGATTTTGAAGGGGTTTTTGAAAGGGGCTAATTGGAAAAACGACTCCCAATTTAAGTCGCCGATTCCCAAATACGGTCGTCCGACGTTGAATGTGTTGAATTTCAGGCGAAAAAGCCAATAAAATAATATCTTTTGTGATTTCGCTGAGAGGGCTCAAGTGCTCACAGACAGACTGAAGGGAGGGCTAATGTGCTCCTTTCAGGAATGGTCAAAAAAATAATAAAGGACCAATGATTTTTTTATTTCTTTAGTAACCAGAGAGTTTAAATAATCTAGATACAAAATGCGCAAAATGTGGGAGCTGGTATTGAGGCATATTGAATAAAAATAAAATAAAAAATACCGGTGACAAGGGAGTGACTTTCAAGAGAAAAAGGAGACAGAGAGATGTCACAGCAAAATTTCAACAGAATGGGAGTCGTTTTTCCAAATGGATGGCCGACTTTGGGAGTCGGCCATCCAATGATGTTTTATTTTTTTAATATTTTTTTTGCATTTTTGGGAGTTGGATCCCCAAACCACCCCTCATGCTTGAGGGGATTTGGGAGTCGCTCCCACATGACCAGAAGGAAATCCTTCCGGTCAATAAGAAACAACAACACCATTGACCGGAATTGATTCCTTCCGGTCTATGGGGCTGTTACACCTCATCAACCGGAAGGGATTCCTTCGGGTCAATGAGGTGTAACAACCTCATCAACCGGAAGGAGTCCCTTCCAGTTGGTGGTGTTGTTGTTAACCTGTTTCTCATCGACCAGGAGGGATTCCTTCCGGTTGATGGTGTTGTTGTATCTCATTGGCCGGGAGGATATCCTTCAGATTGATGAGGTGTACAGCGCCTTGACAGAAAAAATGGAACCCTTTAATTGGAGTCTAGAGGCCAAACCAATGGACTTCAATTTATGCTTCCTGGTGAAACTGTGGATAATGAGTTCTAAAGAATGATTATGACAAACTGAAACAGAAAATATTTAGTAAAAATTTTGTATGTTTTTCCCCATTTTCTGATTTTTTGGGTATTTTTCAATCATTTTTCAAAGTAGCTCAGAAAATTATGATCAATGCAATTGCATGTGAAAAGAATGATTATAAATGAAAATTCAAAAAAAAAAATGGTCCCCAGGTTTTATAAGCATGTTGGGGTCGCGTCATCCCACCAGACCACCCTGCAATCAGGCACTGAAATGGAATTCATTTTCAATATCAATCCAACCTATACAGCTCTCTGAACTTTGTATCATTGATTTTTCTCAATTTTTCATTTATAATCATTCTTTTTCACATGCAATTGCATTGATCATAATTTTCTGAGCTACTTTGAAAAATGATTGAAAAATACCCAAAAAATCATAAAATGGGGAAAAACATACAAAATTTTTACAAAAGATTTTCCATTCCAATTTTTCAGAATCATTCTTTGGAACTCATTCTCCACAGTTTCACCAAGAAGCATAAATTCAAGTCCATTGGTTTGCCCTCTAGACTCCAATTAAAGGGTTCCATTTTTTCTGTCAAGGGGCTGTACAGCCTAGACCATACAATCTCAACGGCCGGAACTTCTGGTCACGGAGATTGGTCTCGATGGCCGGAAGGGGTTCCTTCCGGCCATCAAGATTGTATGGTCTTGATGACCGGAAGGGATTCTTTCCAATCATTGAGACTGTACAGTCTCAATGACCGGAGGGAATCCCCCCGGGCCAGTGGGAGGGAGGTGACTCCTAGAGATTGTTCTTTCGGACCTAGGTACCTGTTTATACCTAGGTACCTGTTCATTTTTTCAAGAAAATAGATACCATGTACCACACCAGACACCTCCTGGGGGGTACCCAAGGTACCTGTGACAGGTACCTCAGGTACCTCCCCACTCTTTTTCACCTATTTTCACTCCCAGAGTCCCAAGTCACTTTGTTATAATTATTATTATTTTTTCATATTAATTGTAAAATATCACTCAGAAGTCACTTTTTTGGCATTTTTTCATATCTGTTGTAATATATCTACATCTAATTGGAAGAATCTTAATTTTCTATTTTTTTCATATTTATTGTAAAACATCAGTCCCAAGTCACTTTTTTCATTTGTTCATATTTAATAGTTTATTGTAAATTTTAAACTATCTACAACTTATAACCAATTGGAAGAATCTTCATTGTTGTCCAAAACTATTGTCAGCCTCTGGGTAACTAACCTGAGTATTTAATAGTAAAAGGTTGTTACTATGAGTTGACTGAAGTTTTTGAGCGTGGTGAGTGTTAGGTAGTGGGTGATTAATACCAGTCCTGTAAAGAGGAGGTTTCACTCTATCAGTATGGTCTTTACTGAGAGGCTTGCTATCAACAGCGCATCCGGATCAATACAAGGTATTAATAGGCATCCAGGGTACTAAGACTCACCTGGGATTGATTTGGTTATTCCCAAAAGGGAATGGGCTAACAATACTTATTAAGCTTTAACAAAATTAGTTGAAGATTAACAGGTATTGTTGATGGGAATATTCAGCAAGGCTATGAATACTGTGGATAAGTTGAGTAAGAGTACTGAAGCTTAAGAACAATAAAGGTAGACAAGATTTATGTTGGTTACGGGTACTGTATCAATATAAATGTTAACTGGTTTAACTGGTGTCTGAATATTCTGGGGATTAATCAGTGAAAGAGGCACGGATTATAAGTTCCAGAATACTGAAGGGGGGAAAGAATGAGCGCTCAGAATCAAGGGAGCTTTGGCCAGGAGAATGAGCACATCAATTGAGTGACTGATCATTATTTGTCATGATCTGTAAGTGACATCATAATTGTGTACTAGTTGCTCTTGATGCGTGTACTTAACAGATCCTCTAATAATGTAGTCATAATTGTGATCAGTGCATGTATTGAATGTATTAATTCTATTGACACTTAATACTTACTATTTAATACATGTACATATTTATTTGTAATAATATTTGACCGTGAAAATACTGTAGCAGAGGGATAACTTGTGGTACAGGTATTTCACGGACAAGGGAGTGACAGGTAAGTGATAATTACTTATGTAGAACACAGGTATGTATTTAATAGATAAGTAATTAATCAGATAAGATAACTGTAAGATAAATAAGATAAGTTAATAATAATGATAAGATAACAAGAGGTAAAGGTAATCAACATTATGGATAAGTACTTATGTACATAAGTACAGGTGTTGCAGTTACTTGGTACATGAAAGGTACTGTGACATGTACTCTGTGGCTGACAACTATCCCCTTCCTTTTTGATTTTTGGTTAGACTTCTTGTTATCCTTGAGTCCCTGTTTCCATGCAGCCAAGGTACCTTCTTGGATCTTGGAGTCCTTGGAGTAAAAGGCCACCGTCATTTTGGTAGGGAAGTGAGGGGGTACCTGTAGAGGTACCTAGGTACCTGTTCAATTTTTCACAAAAATAGGTACCAAGTACCACACCTGGCACCTCCTGGGGGGTGTGGGGAAGGTGTGAGGGGTACCCCCCAGGAGGTACCAGGTACCTGCAAAAAGTACGGACAAACGATCTCTAGCGACTCCCAAACCTCCCACTTGCCAAGGAGGGTTTTGGGTGCCGACTCCCACCCAAAAAAATAAATTTTAATAAAAAACAATTGGGAAGTCGAACTTGACACAAGCCTTGCTGCGGCGGGCGCATCTGGCAGCGTAGTGCTGGCCAGGCGGTTCCCAAAGGGAACTCCCCGCAGGGGAGACTTGCGCCATACATCGACAGACTGGCATGCCCAGATTCTGAGTTTTGGTGGGAGCATCACAACTCTTGGAATTACAGACTTCCCTCAAAGTTTTGAGGGTGTTTTATTGGATTTTCTTGATGTGCTGCATGATCTTGTCCATACATCCAAAACTTGGGGCTTATACCGCACCACATGAATTTATGATGAAATTATAATTTTTTCTGAAAATCCTTTGGGGTGATACTTACCGATCCCATCAACCATGTATGCCAAAAACCTTATGCATATAATCTGCAAAGTTAATTAATAAAAAAAGGAATCATATAACCATTGGACATAATCCCAGCAATAGAGCCTCCCCTCAAAAATCGACAAGTCGTTTTTCGTTCACACCTCGCAAGTCAAACAATCTAAAAAAAACACAACCTTTTACAATCCTTAAGGCGGAGACCAACAGCGTCTCATCAAGGTTGGATCTTGAAGGAGAGCCTTCCGAAGCGTCGGGACTGATCTCAATAGGGAAAGAAGGTTCTGGCTCTCGGATTGCCAGATCATCTTGAAGGAAAGCTCCTGGTGAGCCGGTGTGGGATACTTTATGGGTTCCCATCCAACAACTTTAAAAATTTTATATTTTCTTGTATATACAATAATATTACACCAAATATGGCTCCAGGAAGGGATTCCAGGGCCAAAATCACCCTAGAGGAGCAGGCTTAGACACATGTAACTCCTCTGTGTTGCATGTTACACCCCTATTTTACTCACCGGTAGGGGGGTCAAGCACCCTTACATGTTACAAGGATATCAGGTACACATTTCACCCCTCCGGGCCATGTGATCTGGCATCTGTACGTCTCAATCAAGTACAATGGAAGTATGCAGGCACAGCATACAGATTTCCTTAGCAAACTGTCATGCAAAGCGTACAGCCTCAAATACAGGATGACATCATGCGGCTTACCCAACACAGCCTGCAGGTTGCTAGGTTGCATAGCAACCGTTGCACAGCTTGTCAATCCAACGTAGAGAT